ACTAACAAGTGTAAAGTCCTAGGCTTTTAAATGGCCATGGGCATCTAAGGAAGGACCCCCTACGATGGGATCACCCTCCTTACAACATCGAAGGCTCAAGTACACTTACTAGCACAAGCATTAGCAGGTGTTTTATACATGAGGCACTAGTCTATATTATATGAATTTCAAAAAAACGACATGTAAACAAATGATCATGATGAGTGTCATTTATGGCACTCATTTGGCCTCTTTAGGATGATTTTTCATTGCTTTTACATCTCTTTTATCTCTTTTTCTTTTGTTTTACTTGTATTTTCTCGAGTTTGTGTTTTCATTAGTTATTTTCTTATTTTCTTGTATTTCTTTGTTTATTTTGCCTTTTCTTCTTTACTTGTTTACTTCTCTTTTATTTTAGGATATTGGTGATTTTCGAGGAGCTCATTGGGGTTCTCTCGGGGCATTGAAAGCTTAGGATGCAACCCGGTTCTTCCTCTTGAAGCTTAAAAGTGAGGATGTGCATAAGCCAAGTCTTCAAAGCCTCGCTCTCATGTTGCTTGGACATCAAAGTTGTTGTTAAACCCACCGTGAAGGACTTTAGTTACTGTCTCCCCCAACATGTATCAAGTGAAGCGTGCGGGAGCAACAACAAGCGTACGAAAGAGACCTCCCTAGCGGTACAGGTGGCGGGAGCGGTCGCGAAGACTCTTTCCCCTGTTCAATACCCATTTTGTTGCGGCCACGCAATGGGATGAGAGGTTGCGCCATTTGGTGTTGTTTTTGGACGTCTAACTAACTTCATTTTAGTTAGTTTTACTATATATAGAATTCCTTCATTTCAAGAGAGAGAATGATGAGAGATGGATTAGAGAATTGAATAAGAATTAGATTTTGATTAGAATTTTTAGAGAGAGAAGCTCCAGATTTTGGAGGTTTTGTTCATAGATTTTAGAGAGAGAAACTTTGTAATTGATGATTGCTAAATTTTGATCTTCCCTCATTGATATTAATCAAAGTTTAATAAGATTTTTTTTCCTTTTCATTGCAATTTTTTGTTTAGTTCTTGATATATTGTTGAATTTCTTTTTTTTTTTTTTGTTTGATTTGATTGTTGATATTTGAATTACAATTTTAATTATGAAATTGATGATTAGTTTTGTTATGCTTTTCAAATTTACAATGTGTAGTGAGTAGTTCCTTTGCTAGGAAAGTGGTGAAGCATGTATTAGTGATAATCTATATCTATTTTGGGGTTTTTGATTGATTTAATTTAATTAAATTGGTTAATGAAATTTGTGCATGTGTTTGATTTGAAGAGGAGTAGCTAACCTTGATTATCAAGCTAGATTGAATAGTAGTTTTTAATGACACGAAAAATTGATTTGGAAGCTATTATTATCGATTGATCTTATTTTGCGATTTTCCTTTGAATTCATTTGTAGAGACATCTAGCTTGACCCTAGGAAATAGCTCTTTAAGTAATTTTGATTGCAAATATAGTTTTCCCTCGCATTGCTTGGTTAATAAAATTCTCGACAATTAGCAAGTTTATCATGAGTGCATATGGATCCTAAATTCCCTAGTGCTTTGATAATTGAATTCTATTTGTTAATTTTTATTTAGTTGATTTGATATCATAGACCAACCCGTTGTTTTAAGATTTCGGAATAGCTTAGCTTGAGACCTTAGTAAACTCTGTATTCCCTAGGGTTCGACCCGGACTTACCACTATACTTAGGATTGGATTTGGTTTTATAAATTTTGTTTTGATCGAGGAATCTTAGATACCAATGACCTAGGTTTCACCGGCGTCAAATCAACAATAATTTTCCAAAGGAATAATAAGGCAACACTTCTTACTCATGATAATAAACTGCAACAATACTCAGTTATAAGTGCTGTAGAACACCATATGCAGCAAATCTAGGAACATGAAAACAAAATAGAGACAAAATAATCAACTATAAATAAGCTTATAGCAGAGGCAATTGTAGGCCGGAACTTAAAATTCTGAGAATTAAAAGGGATCGTTATTATTGAAACACATAAAGCATCAGTTTACATAGAAGGCCACTGGCTACATTTGCTTCTTAACACATCCAAAAGAGTACATCCATTTAGTAATAACAAACATAAGCTGTGCTAATCACTGTAAAAAGAAATTATTAAATAGTCTAAAAATAAACAACTCTAGCTGTGGCTGTAAACATGTGGCATCTTCACCAAAAAACCCCTAAGCCCCCCCTCCCCCTAAAAGCTAATTATGCTTTCTGAGCTTGAATACAAGCTCTAAGTGTTTCGGGATTGCAACAGGGGTAATGGAAGACCAAGAGCAAATTTTGGTATGTGCTGCATTAAGCTACAGTGAAGAACGGAGGCAATTTCAACGGTTGTTGAAAACCTAAGACACGCTCCTTCATTACCATGAAACTTTCCTTTGGACCGGAGCACTTAATTCCAGCATAAACTACAATTGCATAATTCTACTTCATAATATTCAGAATGTAGAATAAACATAAGAAACTAATTTCTTTCTTTGCCGCATCTTAGGTAGCAAACCTGCATTTTGCAGCTAATGAACTACATACACACTCTAAGCCACTAGAAGCAAATAAAGTGTATAGTGTAAGCCAAGCAATGCACTTCTTATCAGCTATCTCCATACTCAACTAACGAAACAAGTGCTCCAGTCTTAGTAGCTAAAGTGCATAGAACATCTAGGTAATCAATACACATGTACTTAGCATCATGCTTATGCACATGTATAGAAGGCCACTTCACAAGTGTCATCCCATGTAGAATTTCAATGGACTCTAACCCTAAACATTTCACTTCATATAAGAATTCACAATGCTCGAGCCTGCCAATCGTCTCACTTGACAAGCCATCAACCTGAACACCAGATTCAGCTTGCTTAGCTGCTTATTCAATAGAGGCTTTAGGGTATCAGATGAGCCACTGTTGTGCACAAAGGGCCCTAATACATCACCTGTATCAAGGTGCAACACAATAGAATTCCCACCATTCACAGAAATAATATAAAGAGGGGATGCCAGCTCGAAGCATGCTACAACCTGGTTCAACAAACGTTGGTAGGAAATATAAATATCCTGAGGTCGGTCGTCCGTCACCTATCCGTATCAATAAGGAGCACAACAAATAGTTCATGCCTCTAATTTACATCTTAACACCAACAACCCAAGCTTTCAACTATAAGTAAACAGGAAAAACCTCTCTGCCTAAACCAACTCAACATCTAAGGAGAAATCCTTTTCGTAGCTCAATTACTCTATAACTAAAGACTTAAATCGACCACATGCATACCCTAACAAGATAATTACACAAACTATGTAGATGTGACTATGGTCAAAAGCACAAACTAAGCATAAAACAACAAAATGGAAAGAGTTAACCATATCCTTAAATAAAAACACATAATATTGCATAATTCACAACATTTAAATCCTCAACATGAACAACAAACTGCACAAAAGTCCATAATATACTATCATATCCAAAGACTCTGAAAAATATGAAATAACATGCTACATACAAGCATAGTTATTGATATTAAAATGACTAAGTAAATACTTACATAAGCACTTCTTTCTTAAAAGATGAAACAATAGAATATGTTTAAAAAAATACAACATAACATCAGTGTTCACAATCTGCATGTAAAATAAACTCAATACTCCATAGAGCTAACCACCTAAACAAAACTTGAGCACATTCAACAAAGCATTTTTTGAATGTGTAGAGGTTCAGGCAATGTAACCAAAACTCGGCTAATTTACCAAACAACAAAGGAAAATAAAGTCGTAGTACTTCACCAGCATACAAAGGAAATAGAACTTGCATACCAAGGCAGTAGAAGATATATTTGGTATATCCATTTATGCAATCCAACTGATGTAATGAATGTGTAGACAATGAAAGTTTGTTAAATATGGAGTTTAATTTGAAAGCAATTAAATTAAAAATTATACCTCAACCGTTAGATATGCTCCCATTTTTTAGACTATTCCTTGCTTCCTTTCTTCCTGCCTGGACTCACTGAACATATACCCCCAATTTATAGACTCTAAAAATATTTATTTTTTTTTTAGTTTTAAAATTAATCAAAATAAAAATATATAAGCTCTACATACCAAAGTCTTTCAAATGACCACAAAGGCTCTTAAATCAAAAGTCTTTAACATAAAAAAAAACAAAGTGATAAGCCATTTTTATCATTACCTATACAAAATCACCCACATAACAAATAGACAAAAGAGTAACCGCTGGGTTTTTACTGACTCAAACCGACCAAATCACATAACGTCAAACTCGACACAATAAACCTTTGAAAAAAAAGGGACAGTGGCTAGCACGCCTGAATATAACCTGCATTTGGAAGCATCGTCCAAAAAAAAAGCAGCTAATAAATTTAAGAATTAAATTAGAGTAAATCCTTTACCCCATAAATTCAATAGAATTAGCAAATAAAATCAGCAAGTTAAGTGTTCACTAACTACAAATACAAATGCAGCATAAAATTAAGCACAATTTGTAATTCATATTATTTCAAACTAAACAAAGTGATTTAAACAAACAACAAATTTGATATTGAAAATTAAAAAACAAATTAATATCAGCACATTTGGGGCCTGTTCTCATTGACTGAGATGAACTGAGCTGAACTGAACTTAACTTAACTTAACTTAACTGAACTTATTAGAGCTGAAGTGAACTGAACTTGTTAATTAATGATTTTTAACTATGGATTAATGATCTTTGATTATTTATTATTATATATGTGTATATAAAAATATACATACTAAAATACTTAAGAAAAATATACTATATAATTAAAATATTTATGAGAAATTTATTAAAAACACGGAACCCCAAAACATTTTATAAACATATACTATATAATTAAAAAATACAATATTTAAATGATAGAAAAACACAAATAACATTTTAAAAAATTATCAAAATAAAAAAAAATCAATGTATTAAATAATAAAATACAAAAAATGGAACAAAAGCAACAGAGTGAACAGTCATCCCTTCTCTTTATTATTCCCATTAATACAAGGCCTAACCCCAAATCAACTTTCTCTCTATTCATCCTTTTCTCCTTCCTCCCATTTTCCTCCAGATCCGGCCACAACTGTAGATTATCGTTGGGGTTTATCGAAGTTGCTGATCTCAGCTCCACTCCTCTACTTATCTGCTGAGCGTCGAATAAAGGAACGACGGTGTTCTTCTCGAATCCTTTTACCGGCCACCATTTGTTTATTATTATTGTTGTTGTTGTTGTTTTTGCTGTTGCTTTTGTTGTTGTTGTTATTGTTGTTGTTGTTGTTGTTGTTGTTGCTGTTGTTGTTGTTGTTGTTGTTCTTGTTGCTATTGTTGTTCTTGTTGTTGTTGATGATGTTGTTACTGCTGATGTTGTTGTTGTTATTCTTGTTGTTGTTGTTGTTGTTTTTGTTGTTGTTGTTGTTGTTGTTATTGTTGTTGTTGTTGTTGTTGCTGCTGCTGTTGTTGTTGTTGCTGGCGCCGCCATTGCTGTTGATGTTCCCGCCGCAATTGTTGTTGCTGTTGCTATTGTTGCTGCTGCTGCTGTTGTTATTGTTGTTGTTGATGTTGCTGTTATTGCTGTTGTTGCTGTTATTATTTATGTTGGTGCTGCTATTGCTGCTGCTGTAGTTGTTATTGTTGCTAGTGCTAATGCTATTGTTGTTGCTGCTGCTTGTGTTGATGTTGATGTTGCTATTACTGTTGCTGATGTTGTTGTTGTTGTTGATGTTGTTGTTGTTGTTGGTGTTGCTATAGTTGTTGTTGTTGTTGTTCCTTTTACTGATGTTGTTGTTGTTGTTGTTGTTGTTGTTTTGTTATTGTCGTTGTTGTAATATGAGCTTAAAAGTATGAAATTTGGCTTTATATCATTAGCTATATCATTAAACAGCTGAACTTAAAATAATCTTATGAGAACAGGACCTTATTACATGACATTTTGAATTTTAACGCTTAAATATATACTGCTTACAACATAATAATTCTGATATTAAAAAAATTTATCACCAATACAAATTCCTAAGATGTTCCGTATCCTAAAACAATCTCATTCCTCCGTACATGTGCAACACCATAAGGGATTTCCTCTATACAAGTGGAACAACATAAAGGCAACATATATGCCATCAGGTCGCCACCTGTACAGAACAAAGAAAGCAAAGTCAGAATCCCAAAAAACCAACAGCTAAAGAACACAAGCTAAGCAATTTGGCAGGGAGAAACTTAGAGCTAACAGATCACCAACAAGCAAAAATGCAAATAAGGGAAAAAAAGTTCTTGTAATTTTTGAAGGACAAAAGAGTCCCTACATTATTACTAAGGGAATTCCATGTTAAAAATTTCTCACTTTTAATAGCTACTTGTTAAGCCATCGCACGCGATGCATGCGATAGCCTAATAAACATGGATTATGTGTGGTTAATGGTATTGCTAACTGAATGCGTAGCACTAATTAAATTTAGTTAGTGTGTGTAAAGGTTAGTCTGGTAATATTTGATTTTGTATTTAAAATGAGTATAGATTTAGTTAAGTATTTATTGGGTTAGATTATGTTACAGTTCGTTAAATGTAATGAATTTGTTACATGTTGTTTGCGTGTTATCTAGTCTCCAATAAATATCAATTTAGTAATTTGGTCTTATCTTTCAAAAAAATTAAAATTTTATAGTTTTGGAAAATTAGGAAATACGGATTTATTGTAACCTGTCATAAATCTAGATTTAAAATATGGTTTTATTGGTTTAAATTTTTTTTAAAATTTTATTGTTAATAAGCGGTACATCTTAGAAACACAAAATACGGCTAACACACGTGTGTATAGATATTGTGCATATAAGGAAATTTTTAAACGCTAATATCTATTTTTAGATTTTTTTTTTGTACGTGCAGTTATGGAATACGACATATTAATGTAAAGATGTTTAAAAGTTGTACTTTCAAAGTCAAGGTTTTTAATTCTGTTAAGATTTTGTCATGATTGTTGAGATTGCTTTTGATTGGTCAAATGGGGTACTTCTTTTGCATGGTGTATAATACCTGCTCTACTCTCATGTTCTGTCTTTCATCTTCCCTTTTTTTTCTTTTTTTTTTGAGAGTTTTTGTGCTTTAATTTCTTGCAAACAACAATGGCTAGCATTGATAGCACTTCCACTTCTGGAAAAGTAATTTCACCATCAATCTAGAGACCTAATGAGTCGAAATCACATGCAGAGAATGTTGCAAGCTTCCGTTTATATGCCACAGATATGACAAAGTAGTGAATAGTCAATTGGAATTTTTGCAACAAGGGATTTCAAAGGTGCAGAATAAAAAAGAAAACGGAGATATAAGAGACAAGAAAACGAGAAGTTGAGGTGGATGGTTGTGGGGAACGACCAGTTATTATTGTTGAATAAGACAGTGATGAATATGAAATAAAAAATAAGGAAAGAGGTAAGGCAGAAAAGGAAGGGGAAGAATTTGAGGAAGAAGTTGAGACCGAGGAAGATGATGAGAATGATGAAGATGCTGAAAGTGATGTGAATTCTAATTCAAAAACTAAGATAGTGGAAGAAGCGGTTGTAGAGTCAAATGCATCATTTGAATCAGGCAGTGATGATTATGATGATGATGAGAGTGGATCCAATTCTAATTTTGGGAATATGATGAAGCAAATGAAGAAACAAGCAAAGATTCTTCTTTGTTTGCTATGAGTATTTCTGCTGAAAATGTGTTATAGAGAATTAAGTTTAAGTGGTGCATTTTGTTTGTTTTTGGAGGGTTGTTTAGAGCTAGCATGAATTAAATGTTTGTTAGGGGTTTTTATGGGTATTAGGTTTTTAGGGAATAAATTCCAAGCGCTAATCCCCTAGCTTGAACCCCACTGTGATCATACACTAAAGTACGGTGGCGTCCAAAAGGGAAGAAGATAGAGCAAAAGAGTCGCCAACAAGTTTTAGGAACTTGTGAACCATTCACAGGGTGAAGGTTACACCCCTTAACGATCCAAGAGATCGTCAACTCCATAAGGTCTAGAACCAAATAAGGGTTCGGGGATGAAGGTACAAATCCAACCTAAAAGAGATTAAACCTGCCTTAATAATAGGCCTCTACTTTATTCTGATGGTATTCATGTGCGCTTTTTAATTAACATGCAATCAATAGGATTAACCCTAAACCTCTTTATCTATGTTGGTTGAATATTAATGCACAAATAAATCTATTATTGGCGATCACTTGAAATCACAATCAAATTAACCCTAACAAGATTATTTATTATCTTATTAAGCGTGATTACAAGTACAAATTCCCTTTAAACATGCATAAAAGGTGTGATCAAGCAATAAAAAATAAATATATATAATCAAGCAACATAATAAATCAATATCGTGACAATAAAATTATAATCATCATCAAGATAATAATAATCATAAAAATAATAATCAAAATAATAATCGTCATAAATAAAATAATAACAATCATAATTAATTAACAATAATAATCATGATAAAAAATAATAATAATCATGTTAAAGCATAATGATAATAGCAAGATCCTAGGCATGATACTAACAAGATTAATAATAAACTCTAGCATGTCACTAAGTAATAAAAATCAAATCTTTAACCTTAACATGATACTAACATGAATAAATATTAGGAAGAAAATAGGAAGCATCATAGCAATCATATTTAATATTAAAATTACACTAGACATGATACTAGGAATATCATAATAACAATGTAAACATGATTTCTACATCATAACATTAATAAAAACCATTAAAGTACTTACTTTGATGCCTCGTACCTCTTTCTAATAACAAAATACACACGCTAGTAACTTCAAGGAAAATAATAAACAAAACAATTAAATTAAATAATTGAAATACAGATTTGGGACCAAACCCTCAGAAATTAAACCTTTCACGTCTAGGGCGAAGGCAACTTCGAATATGGCTAGGTGTTTCTATATCTTGTGAATGCGGAATTTTGTATTTAAAAGACAAGTTTAGAAAAAGAAAGAGAGAGAGAGAGATGGTGAATGATTAAGGAAATCTTGATGAGAATTAGCGAATGATTAAAGCGAATGAGAGAGAATTGAAAACTGGTTGTAGGTGCATGAAAACGGAGTTTTTACGTCATTATTTATAGAGAAAATCAGCCAAAAAGATAAAATTAACAAAACAGAGTATTGGCGCACTTGAAACAGAGCTGGCGCCAATGCCAGCGCCAGGCGCCAGGCCTAGCGTCAGGCGCCAATGCCTGGCGTTAGGCGCTAGTCCTGTTTTTGACGCGTTTTCTCAAATCAGATATATTTTTCCGTACAGGAGGATAAAATCGTATCTTTCCTCAAAAATGCTCTTTGATTTTAATTAAAACTCTTAAAAGTCAACAAAAGTCAATTTATCAATGCTAATTGAATTAGGAATGAAAATAAACTTCTAGAAGAATCTAGAAAACTAAAATCATTCCTCATTACATAAGGAATGATAAATCATATTAGGCCCTCCCCTAGATCATTGGGCCGTATATAAAGCTCAAACCGGGCCCAGTTTAGTAAATTGGCCATAACTTCCTCAATATTCATCGGAAGTGGGCTTATAATATATCGTTGGAAAGCTCTTGTCAAGACCCATCCAACTACACTACTATTGGACCCATATCATGGACTAACCAAACTGGTTTGGCTGTTTTCTTAAAATAAGTTTTCAAAAACAGAGAGAAGAGAAAAGAAATTAAAACTATCCACAACAATAGACTTTCCACACTTTCGCTTTATTCGATTATGATTCGACGTGAAATGTACTCATCACCGGGTTTGGTTTTGGGGAGACACAAATGGGTTTCTACAGAAGCCCCCACTTTGACTGAGTTTGGAGAAACGCAAGTTTCAAAAACAAAAGTCAAAGTATCGATATGGACGGAGAATGATTCAGAACGTTCTGCGATCCTAAATCACTCTTGTAACACCGATACCTGCAAAACTAGCATTAGTTAAACAGATAAAAGAGTTAAGAAACGCGTATCTTGCACCTTCGAGCACACGTCTCTGAAAGTAACCTATTGTTTTGATGACCTCCTGCAAGCTAGAGAATGTCATCCCGCTTGAAAACCGCTACGCCCGTAACTGCTTCCAATATAGAATATTGCTTCGCCTGAAACAATCCTCCTCCGCTATGATAGTATTTCACGTCCAAGGGAATACCATCGAATATTGCTTCTCTTGAAACAATCCTCGGTTGTTTATGACAACACTCCACAGTCTAGGGAACGCCACCTTGCTGTTTCTATGTTCACTCGTATCTGAACAAAGAACTTCTTTTTGATATGTTCACGCGCCTCTGAACAAAGAGCTTCTTTTTCTTTTGGATATGTTCACGTGCCTCTAAACAAAGAGCTTCTGAATGATATGCCCACGCGTCTCTGAGCGAAGATTCATTGAATGATATGCCCACGCGTCTCTGAGCGAAAGAGCTTGAAAATATGAGATATTTGATTATATGTCCACGCGTCTCTGAACAAAAGAGCTTTTGAATGATATACCCACGCATCTTTGGAGCAAAAGAGCTTAATGGAAATTTTCACGCGTCTCTGAACAAAAGAACTTGATGATATGCCCACGCATCTCTGGAGCAAAGAGCTTTGATGGAAATGTTCACGCGTCTCTGAACAATAGAGCTTGAATAATATGCCTACGCGTCTCTGGACAATAGAGCTTCAGTACTTGAACGTTTGTTTGCGATAATATTCTGAAGAAAAATTTCCGAAGACCAACGTTTGTCGATCTCTAAAGCTCGCCTGAACTTTGCTTCCGCTAAAACCAGTATGTCATAAGCCAATTCTTAGGCGCTTTAAGCTAAGTGAGACGATCTTTCATCAGGTCGACCACTTATTGTGATTGTAATCAAACCGACTACTTAATCATGTCAAATTGCTTATAGGGGCTAACTGGCGTACCAAGGAACCCGAAATTGCTGTATGAGGTTGAAATCACCTTTCTGAGAGGCTTCGAGCTCCGTCGTTGCTGAAATATCTCTGGCGCCAAGAATTGACTCTGTTGCCGAACGCTGTGATAGGGTCTTCCCTATTCTGTTGCACCTGTATTTATTTTTTACTATAGAACTTTGCTAATCTTTTTAACCATCTTAGGGTTGACCTAAGGCTTAATTATCTTAGGGTTGACCTAAGGTTTAATGCTGCTTGACTCATCGACTTGACACGACTCAAGGTGTAAACTTGACTCGATATGATTGACTGACTCGAGGTTGACTCGACTCAAAGTGACTCGTGTGTACGTAGTGTTGACTCGTGAAACTCAATATGTACATGACTCGAAATGCAGAAAAGCAAAAATTTCCGTCATTTTTGTGGAGGGTACCGACTTTCTTCCGAAAAAGAAAGACGCGAAAAAGAATTGAAACGAAGTTTTTTGAAGATGCATGTTGAATGAGCTTAGTCAAATATATGCGTTTGATGTTGTCTCTTAAGGTGAAAAGATTAATCCATCCTAGGCTATCTCAATGTTTGACTAAATGATGAAAGTATTTGAGTAACTTAGGCACGGAGGCCAAGCACTTCATACTTCGTGATGCAATGAAAATTATGACTGATGAGTGATTTTGATATGATAAGGCATGCTTCAGCGTTGTGTTAAGATTCCATTGTTAAGATTCAATGACAAAGGGTTCCTAAGGGAAGTATATTTGGTCATGTATATGTGCAGTGTGTAAAAGTGACACTAAAGTTAGGCCGCAAGAGCTAAGTGTGTTGAAAGAATATTATTGAAAAGAGTCAAATGGTGGTGACTCTTAGGCTAGGTAAGCTAATGATATAGGGATCAAGCCCCCAAGTCTATCTCTAAGTGAAAAGGGATGAGCATAGGGAATCCTTGATATGATCATGGTGCAAGTTTGTGAATGTGAATATGAATGCATGTTTATTACGGTCGCACCTCGATGTGAGGTTGCCTACGTATCCATTAGGAATCAGGCCAAACGTAGCTCTAGCCGAACCTCGCACAAGTGTGTATACCTCAAAAAGGTCTTTTTAAGGGTTGTAACGTGGTTAGGCTAAAGGTTTGAAGAAGAAGGGGATAAAGGCTCAAGACCCTAGATAAGCCCCCAAGGTGTGCAACCTCGCTTTAGAATCTTTGTATTTTTATGCTTGAGTTTCTACTCTTTTTTAGCTCACTTTTATCTTTTGATTTAGCATCTATTTTATGTTTACAAGTGTGGGCAATCTCGATCATGCGGTCTATCACCACTTGGCATTCATGTTTCTCAAGCACGGTACCGAGTACTCGATAAGAGACGCAATCTGTGACGTGTTCTTATCGAAGATATTTTCATATCAAAGACATTGGAACACTTGCCCTTTTGTACACTCTTATTTATTTGTTTTCTTTTTCTTATCTTTGCTATTTTAGTCTTTTGAATCACTCAAGCTTTTGTTCTTTTATAGAATTGCATAAGTTACACCACCATCCCATCCCAAGGTTAGGTAGATGTAGGTTGAAAAAAGAAAGGTCTATCGTTAGAAGAGGCTCAAAGTGGTTTATGAAGAAAGGATTGCATATTTGAGAGGTGAAAGGAGATATGATATGGTACAAGGGGTGCCTCAAATCATTGGTATACCTTGTGCTTAATTCGACATGGATTTTTTTTTTTTTTTTTTTGTGTTTTGTTTATATATATATTTAATGCAATATAATG